TAGTCCCCTAGTACTTCCCTGAGTTCTAAAGAACAGACTCAGTTACTAATTATGGAATTGAGGGAACACAGAAACAAAGGAAAAGTAGTCAAGCAAGAAAAGTAATGACAGCTTAAACAACAGTTTAGCGATTGTTAAACTAAGGGATAGACACAACAATCTGATGCATATCTTTGAGTTGTTTTGCAGAAACTGAGACATTCCTCCCACACCCACCCAGGTGGAGGACAGTGAATACAGAGGGACCAAAACTGGTGAACCCCAAACTCAGTGGAACCAGATGGTGGATGATTAAGATTCCAAAACATAACTTGTTACTTCATCACCAACCAATCAGAAGAAAGACTGTGTGCAGCAACCCTCATCCCAAATGTTACTTCTAAAAACCCTTCCCTGAAAGCCATCAGGGAGTTTGGGTCTTTTGAACACAAGCTGCCCATTCTCCTTGCTTGATCCCCTGCAAATAAACGCTGTAGTTTCCTTCATCATAACTGGGTGTCAGTAGACTGGCTTTGCTACGCTGTCTGCTGCCAGACCCAAATTCAGTTCAGCAATGTAAGTAAATTATGCTCCACAGGAACCAGCTGTGACCACCCAGCCAGCACTTTTCAACATCCAACTCTGGCTGACAGTAGTTCAAGGGCTGCTTTTCTCTTTCTCATAGCTATGTGACCTCAAGCAAGTAATTTAACTTCTCCATGGTTCAGTTTCCTCATCTCCAAAATGAGACTACAAGAGCATATATCTCTTGATCTATTAAGGTTATCAGTAGTGAGATAATTCACGTTAAAAAAAAAACCTGTGACAGTGACTGATATATAGTCACCACTCAGTGAGTGTCTTTCAAAGATTCTAAATTGCACTCTATTTTTTCACACTTTAAAACGTCTGAAATGGGCAGCGATGAAGTCCAAAATCTTAGAATAGATACAATTTAGTAGTAGTATTTTCAGAAGGCTCTGATTTGGGGGACAGTTCCTCTTCACCGCCAACTGCTCGATTCATTCCCGCGGGAATGACTTTTCTTTTCAACCTTTGAAACTTTCTCCACTTCTGGGGCGAGGCCTGACAGGCCTCTCTTTCCGGCACGTAATTTTAGATGCGCGGCTTCCTTAGCCAATACGGGCTGCGGCGGCAGCACTCGAGAACTTACGGCGGCGCGGCACCCACGCGGCCCCGGAGCCAAAGCCAAACCGAAGCGTCCCCGCCCGCCCGGCCGTCAGCTGATGG